GTGTATATGGTACATACGTACCATATACACTACATCAAAAAGATTTAGCAGAACAGGGAAAAATAATTTCGTTTAAAATCAAAACTTATTTTGTGACGCCAAATTAAAGTTCTTATAGGCACTAAACTGTGAAAAATAATGTAATCTTTCCAACAGAAGCATGGATAGTGTTAACGGTAACAGCCCACCTTACAGCGACGCGGTTTTAGTAAAACAAACATGTAATATACATCTTCACCTTCTGGGTCTGAAATCAATAATTAATTATAGCTCTTATAGATGTAATAATAAACCCCCAGATTTTAAAAGTTTTCGTCTCCAGATCCATTTATTTTTGAAGTTACCTGTTTATTATGACATAAAGACCAATTATAACTTACACTGCCGTCTTACTACCGTTTAAAAAAAATTGCAAAAAAGTTACTGCGTATCCATACGATAGTAATTTTTGTTTGGTCCTGTCATGGAAGCTTTTATTTGGCTTGGACTCAATGTTTTGACATAACCAATTTCTTGTTTTAATATAAGACTAGCTTCGCATATGGTTATGGCGTTAGGAATATTAAGAATGTTTTCCTCTTGTGAATGCATTTGCAATTTACTGTTGGTTTTTCTTGTTATTATACCTCTGGAGCGCTCTTAAATCATTTTATAGATTACCGCGATTTTGCTCCGATATAGTTTAAATTTCGCTATGTGATATTTCGTAATTATGTTTCTGGTCACATTCAAAAGCTTGATTATTTGAGCTTGGCCCTTTTGTGAACGAAGAGTAAAAACTGTATTGTTATTAACTTTTTCAACAGATTTTGTTAATCATGGTGTCATCAACGTATATTTTACGTGGTTCTGTTACAGGCTCTAGTCTCTTTATTCTACTTGAACGAAACATTTAATCGAGTGAAAGAGATCTACCATTTCCTAATAAATAAGCTATGAGAGCTCTTGCTTGTTTGGCATTGGACAAAAGAACAGCATAGCATTTGATATCAACAAAGCGTCCAGAACTTTGCCTAACAAAACTGGCATATTTATAGTACCTATAAAAATCTTTCACTATTTGAAAGAAACACCAACCAAACTTTAAATTTAATTTGTTTTTCTCATTCTGATGAATACAGAGTAAAAAAAACTATCCAATGACCTCCAGAATAGTGTGTTGATAAGCCAAAGCTGCCATTGGCTACCGAAGTCATTGTCAATTGTCAACCAATTGCTTCTTTTTCATCAACAGAAGAAGACATTATTGCTGCCAGTGCAAATGTTAAACAAGATATACAGCTAGCAGTCTTTTGAATTATTTAAACTTGAACATAAACGAACCAAAATATTCATTGATTAGTCGGCTTTAACGTTTTCACATAATTCAAAATGAATTTGACAAGCCTATAGGACAAAGAAACTTCTGTGCTTGAGTCTGTATTAATAACTAACATTCACCCAACAACTGGCTGACCATCGAACTAGGTTCTTAATGATCCAGAATTGGAAGAGTTGACTGCAAAACTTGTTTTAAAGAAAATGATAAAAATTACTTAAGAGATAGATACCTCTTTCTATATATATATTTCTAAATTCAATGTCGTCTTGATATGACTTCTCATTGGTCCTTTCCTACATTATTTTGTTCTTGGAAAAATATGTTCATATTTTCTTGTGATTTTATGGTTTTCTTTCAAAAAAGATATATTCGTAGCAGAAACAGATAAATATAAAATTAAGTTATCAGTGCCGTGACTCTAAAAATTACAAGAAATGGTTATGTCGTTTATAAAACTTTTATTTCATAACGTAGGCGTCATTTAAACGATTTTATATTAAAGCGTCATAAAAACTTATTTCGAATTGCTATTGAGGTAGTTGGTGATGTTATATTTTACCTATGTACGTTTCGTTACTATTTAATAAAAATGGCAGTTATTTGATACAATAAAATATTTGACTTGTTTGAATATGTTAAAAGAACTCATAAAAGAAGTTACAGGTAATAGGTAAAGGAAGTTATAGGTAAGTACATATTACCCATATTTTAAAAATGGGAAATGGTGATTTTTAGTCCAGATTTAAAATTGACAACTATTAGTAACTAAATATATAAAGAATATTTCACTTCGTTTTTATAATGACATTATAGAAAATTTAATTTTTAAACTTTATTTAAAAAATTATTTTGGCCTAATTGAAATGATTAACAAATTTCCTAATACTGTAATTCTTAAGAACCCTTGTCAGTCCTCATTAGCAGCAAAGTCATAATAAATAAATACTGACAACAGAATTATAAAAAACTATGAAAAGAATTAGTGTGATAGCAAATCTATAAAAAAAAAATAAGATCGACAGGCAAAAATTAATGTTTAATAAAAATAAGTCAAACTGGTGCAGTGATAAAGATGATGATTCAAATGTTTAAAATCAACTATGCTGTTATCGATTTGAGAAAAAAAGCTGAAGACTGAGTTCAGTGACGGTCTAGGGGCTTTCCCCTTTGATTTTGTCCATTTGTGGTTCAATTGCGGATTAAGATGATGAAGGTGCTGAGGATGCTATTATTGAAAATAATTGCTTTCCGAAATACGTGATGTATTTAATTTCATAAGGTATAAGAAAATAAGTACTATTATTCGTAATTATCAAATAGTATAACGACGAAAAGATTGATGCTAACAACTAGGTATTCAAAAATATGGTAGCAGCAAAAACTCTCCATTTGGACAAACTTGTTGCTACGATTTTTTAAATGATTTTAATTCTTTTCCTGTGGCTAATTAAGAGTCGTAAACTTCTTGAAAACTTGAATAATAATGGAATTATGGTTTTAATTATTATGGCAATATATTATTATGGAAATCAGTTTTGCTTAGTATATATTGTTATACATATATAGTATAGGAATCCAAAGAAATAATAAAATTTATGTAACTTCATTACAACTGTAAATCGTTAACCATTAATTTTAAAAAAATCAAACAATAATAATCATTCAATTTACGATTTTTTAAAAACATATTAATAAAACAGGGGAATAAATACTTTCTTCTTAAATTAAATTTACAGATAATTTACACAGATAGGGAACTCTATGGGACATCATCATACATATATTCAGTTCCACTATTGTTAATAAATCTTTTTTTCAGAGAAAAAATATTGAAAGAGGTTAAGCTCGTAAAGGAGCTCTTTTAAGACCCTAAAAATTGTGTTTAAATAACTAACTAGATAACTAATAAATTAACTAAGCCAAAAAAGTCTACACATATTTCTTGTTTACTTACAAAGTTACTGATGACTCTGCCAACTATTGATATATCCATGTTTGTTTAATAAAAAAAAAGTATTTAAAATTAAAAAATTAAAAAGACGTCATTTTATCGTATAAGAAGACTTGGTTATTATGACTGACTGACTGGCTTTTGAATAATAAAATGGGAACATTACGTAGATTATCATCCAATGTAATAAAAGGAAGACAAGTGCGTGCCAAAGAAGTTAGAAGACTAACAACGGAAAGCGATACTGCACGAACTGGAATTTTATTTTTATGCTCACATGATACTAGATAAGATTTATCGTGGCTCTACGAGACATAGTGGCCTTTATCACGAATGCCATGAAATATGTTCATGAAAATAAGTTTTCTGGTTACAAAAGTATAAGTATTTCAGAAATAAAAAAAGAAATGTAAAACTTTCCCCAACTTTGATATCATAAAAAAAGATGTAAAAATATCTTTTGCGAATGTATATACTTGAAGCTTTACTTGGTAAGTGAAGGAAAATCTAAAAGGGTTAACCCTTAAATTGGTTTTACAACGTAAAAAAGCTGGACGCTATCACTTAAAACTACTCAATTTCTGTTGTTTTATATCATCGGCCACTTTACGGTCGTTGGATTAAATGTTTAAAAACAAGTTGCAATCTCTTAAGACCACGGAAAACAAATGAAATCCATATCGCCACAAAGACAATAAGTGTTGAAACATTTTTGTCGTCATAAAAACAAAATAAAAAAATACCTGAACCACAACCAAGTCAACCATTTCTTCACAATATTCTTGAAGTTGCTCAGTTCAAAGTCAACTTTTCTTTTTAAGTATAAAAAATTATGTTACTTCCGCATAGAACACATGTCGAGAGGCTCGCAATCATATTTTTTGACTGACTATTGTCGTCTTGATTCGTTACATTGCGATGTGAAAGCATGTTTGCTATTGAGATCATAAAAAACAAGGGTATTTTGTGTTGTCGTTTGCGTGAAAGATAATGAGGCTATTTTTGTGCCAAAACGGAACATTTTCAACAATCACATAAGTTATTGCAATAGTTCAGTATCTATCGTTTGGAAACTTGAAAAAGTTTATTTTAACTTAACCAACTTTAAAGCACTGTTACTTAGTAATGGTTGTTATATTCTAAAAGTCATGATTAGTATATTAATACTAGTTTATACTAGTTTTGAAAGCCATTTTTTATCCAAGATTTGATGAACTAATTAATCGACAGGATATATAACAACTTATTTTAATCTCTTTGTCTTTTAAAAATGTTTTAACAACTACGTAAAATTTACATAAAATAACTCTTTTATTTATACACTAGTACTGATAATACTAAGAAAAAATCATATTTTTTTATAATCGAGTTGAGGACTTTCTACGTATCATTTTATTTTAGTTCTTTTATGCGTTGACCTAAATTATATGTAATTGAATATGGGAAAGTTATTAAATTTATTTAAAGAAAATTCGAAAATAGATTTTCTTTTATTCTAAGAATCACTCAATTAATACTTGTAAAATTTTATCAGCCGCAAGTTACTTACGACCGAAAAATAACTTAATACGGTAATTAATTTACTTAATTCATTCCGACATGTTTAACATTATCTACATTTGATATTTATAACAATTTAATCCATGTTTAGTCTGCGAACTTATACAAAAGACTCATTTATTGTCTAGCCTACAACAAACTAAAAAGAAATCATTTACTTTTATTACATTAACGGTCAACGTCTCCAAACACTACATCGATGGTTGCAATAAGAATAGCTATATCAGCAAGAAGTAAACCTTTACCCATAAATGCAACACCTGCTAGATGGTTATAAGAACAAGATCGTATACCAACTCGATACGGTTTAGAAGTACCATCTCCAACCATATAGAAACCTAATTCTCCTTTAGGACATTCTACGCTAGTATAGGTTGCTCCTGGAGGAACAACGTAGCCTTCGCTACATAATTTAAAGTGATGAATAAGAGCTTCCATAGAAGTTTTCATTTCTGATCGTAATGGTGGTGAAACTTTAGAATCGTCTGTTCTAACTTCGCCTTCTGGCATAGTGTCAATTACTTGGTTAATTATTCTAATGGATTGCCGTAATTCCATTAAACGGAGAAGATGTCTATCAAAACTGTCCCCAAAGGTTCCTATGGGAACGTCAAAGTCATAAAGATCATAACCATCGTAAGGAAATGCAATTCTTAAATCCCACTTAACTCCTGTAGATCTAAGCATCGGTCCACTAAAGCCGTGATGTATAGCATCGTGAGCAGAAACAACGCCAACCCCTGCAGTTCTTGCATAATACAACCTATTACCTGTAGCGATATCTTCAGTTTCGTCACAGCGTTCACCGAGTTTCATACAAAACTCATGTATATCATCCATAAAACCTATAGGAATGTCTTGCGATACACCTCCAGGTCTTATATAAGCACAATGAACTCGAGCACCACAAAGTCGTTCAGATAACTCGTATATCTTCTCTCGCTCCTCACACATCCAAAAAAATGGTGTAATTCCACCTGCATCAAGAATAGTGCCAGAAATATTTAAAAGATGATTAGCTATGCGAGAAAGTTCACTACATAATACTCTTATAGCTTGAGCTCTCGGAGGAACTTGTATGTTAAGAAGTCGTTCGACAGCAACTGCAAATCCTTGTTCATTTGCTAGGGTTGACACATAATCAAAGCGATCCACATATGGCAAACTTTGTGTATAATGTTTGTGTTCCATTAATTTTTCACTAGCTCTGTGTAGAAAACCGACATGAGGATCTGCTCTGACAACTAATTCGCCATCTAGTTCCAAAATTAGTCGAAGCACTCCATGTGCAGCAGGATGTTGAGGTCCAAAGTTTATCCACATGTTTCGTAATTTACGCTCCACCGGTCGCACTCTGCCATGATATATTACCCTATAATACTTCTCCATGGCCTCTGTTGTAAATATACCGACACCACCAAACTGATTAGCAAACTCAACATCCGGAACCCATCTCTTGGCGTTTAATGCTGCACTAGTTTGTATTTGCCGAATATGCTTAAAGGGACCAAACAACGCCAAATATCTTCGAACGTTCTTCATTGTTATAAGTAATAATAGTATTATTTTATAGATAACAAAATAGTACTATAAAAAATATTAGTTATATCTTTGACGGGAATGTTGTTTCATAAATCGAAGTAATGTGGCCAGGCAAGGTTATTGAAAAAATATATCAAAAGAGTAATTACTCAATTAGTTTTAAATTTTGTCTTGTCTGCAATTCAGTCAAAGTTGAAGGTGTTATTCAAACATTAAATTAAATTAAACCTTTCCAAAAAAAAAAAAATCTAAGAAACTTTTTATTTAGAAAGACTAAGTAATTTTGTTTTATCGTAAAGGTAACATAGGAAAAATTTACATATCTTTCGACTGCTTACAAACTGTCTATATAATAACTGTTTAATTCATTGATAACAAGATAAACTTTATTAATGTTTGTTTTTAATAAGCAATTTTTAATGATCACAGGTAGGTACTTTGGAGGACCAGCAAATAAAAGAGATTTGATTACTATATGTAACCATGAACTTATATGATTATTTTTTAACTTTAACTTCTATATTTACTCTGAGGTAATAACTTATTGAGGATTTAAACAATTTCTTAGATTTTATACGTATATAGAGTATATGGATATTATGGATATCAAACTTAAAATATTAGTTTTCATACTAGAAAACTTACATCTACGTTATCATATTAAATATGTTATACTGATGAAATAAACGTCATCTTACCTCAGTACTCTCTTCATCTTCATCTACTTCATACTTTACGAAAGCAAACCGTAATTGATTTTCAAAATGCTCCCGTGCTTCAATTTTTTCTTGCTGACTAAAATTTTCCATTTGCGCAACTTGACGTGCTTAATAATCACATAAGTATCAAAAGTTGTTGAAAATTTTCTAGAGGCTTCATATTTATTATGCACTCTGGTTAGTACACTTAGTAAATGACTACATTAAACCAAAACTCATATTTTTTCACTCCTATATGGTGATAGGAAGTGAGAAATTATTGATAAAACAACGGAGGTGTTTGCAGGTTGAAATAGCGCTATTGGCGAGCGTTAGTGGGGTAATTAAACTTCAAAATTTATACATTTATATACCTAACCACTAACGAATAAGTTGTTTTATAATATTCATAATTGTTCACTTACGGTTATCTAAAACAGACTGAACATTTCAATAAAAACTTTTTTTTGGACATGTTTCTACATATTAAAATGGAATTATTTTTTATTAATTTGCGAGGTTCCACGTACTGACGGGTCATCATAAAAATTTTATTTATACGATACATGATTGAGTGTGATTGTACCCTAAGTCCCAACTATGTACATATTTGTGAGATTTATTTCTTTGTTTTTTTTTTACCAATTAGTTCAAAACCTCCTTTTTATTCCTAAGAATGTATGGACTTGTAAAAATAAATGGATTTAAAAATATTATTACTATTAAAAAAAAATATCAATAATTTTGTTATATAATGAAACAATTATAATACAGTCTATTAAGATTACTATATCAAATAATTTCTGAATGTAGGTCGGTAACGACATTCCCTTCATGATAAATAGATGTACTCGTAGATGATTAATTTCATCGCATGCTTTTAAAAGATATTTTGTTTCGATCTTTCCAAGCGAATAACTAATAAGTCTTAATAATAAAACTAAGAATTAAAAGATTGTCATAAATGGGATTATACTTTTTCAATTAATGCGTTTTTAATTTCTACAAACATTAGGTATTCATAGATAGGTAGTGTGACGTTTAACAATAGTGTTTACATGTCTACTTGAATAAAGTATACTTATGTATTTTAATAACTGCCGAAAACCAAATAAGTAATGGTAGGTAGTTAATAGAAATGTCTATAATATACATTGTAAATACACATATAGCTGTGTTTTATATAACATCTACATCAGTTTATTAAGTGTATAATGATTTGTTAACTTTTTTTTTTTCTACATACAATAATTATAAAATGTTTTTTTTTATCTAAAAATAACTAGAAGTTTCAAAATCAGCCACGCCTACTTACCCTACTAATTTCATCCTCTGTCAGTTGTTTCACCTTAACGTCTCTGTCAGACATCGCTGGTACTAATTACTCCACGCCCATAAACGATACAGGTCACGTAAAGTACGAGACCTTAATTATTAAAAGCTTATAAAACAATTAAACATTGAAATTAATGAATCCGAAAGTCATCCGGTGTCAGGTGGAGGTAAAAAACAACTGGTATACATTACAGGGGTTTGAAAGGTTCGTTAAAAAGAAGTAGAAAGTAAAGGCAAATTAGAGTATTATGGTTTATTAATGTTAAAAGTAATTTTGTTTTGATACGGTCGTCCTGCGGCTGTTGGCGTGCGGTCACGCTCTATCTGCGACGTCACCACGCGGCACCGTCCGCCTCCAAGAGACTTTATACAATCGATTTACAACTCATTAACATCTGATGCGACTCTGTACTGTACAAATAAAACACAAAAGATTCTATAAAGAACATTTTATTAAACGTTTGGATAAACATACATCTGACATGTGATGTTATATATAGTATACATATTTTGAGATTATAACTAATTAAATAAGGAATGCTCTTTAAAATATATATTTAAATATTTTTAATGATATTTATAACTATTATACATATTTATTAAAAAAATATATAATTGAAATACTCCAATCATGATAACAATCACAGGCAATTTTTTAAATTAATGGTAAATTTAGATTACAGATAGGAATATTATTTTAAAAAATAATTTTAAATAAAATCTTATATAGTTTATAACTACTTAACTTTCGTACACAAAGTACGTTCAATTGACTTTAATTGACAACAGTACACAATATTGATATAAATTTTGTCACTATCCAATTATCACTACTTTATAAGAAAAATTACAATCAAAATATTTGAAAAAAAAAAACGGTGAAAGTTAACGACACAAAACCATGGTCTACAACTTATTAACTATTGGTACATAGATATCGTCTTATATATTGAAAACAAGATATAAATATTTCATATAATAAGCTATTATAAACTTTTAACATAAACAAAATCAAAAGTGAAATAATACATTGTATCATACTTATGAATTATATAGATATATCATATACAAAAAAAATATATAAAAAAGAGTAACCTTTGGAACACTAACTGTATCGTGGCCAACGAAACGAGATAAAAAACGTAAACAAACTTTCTGCATTGAAATATTTTTTATAAAAAATCTTCAGCAGGAGACTTTTTATACCTATATGGAAACACTCAAGAAAAATTATCATTATAAGCAGAAAAGTTCCATCACTCTTCTTTAATAAAATGACTCTTGTGTAGTCAGCATTGTAACCGCTGGTGAATGAGGTGATATGAGAAATTAATTTAAGAAATACAAAGTGCATGTCAGTTCCAGATTCCTTAAAAATTGTGATAACGCAATACTCATACTCATAAGCGGTACATCACGATATGATAACATAACACAAATAATATATATATGTATGTATATCATTTTTACAACACACAATTTAAACATTTATAACAGTAGAAACAACAAACATCAAGATTATTTTGTGGCATATACACAAGTGAACGCTGAAAAAGATACATGGTTTATAATCTTAATTACATATACAGGTGTCTCTTTGAAAGCATCTAGATTTTTTAAACATTTCATATGTATTTTAACATAAAACATTAAGTTTGCTTTCAATTTTATATGTATATCTTTTATAACCAAATCACTGCAAAAATCTTTTTTAGCTAAAAAAATACATAGAATCGTACAAATTCTTGCATTTATACACAGTGAATCAACGTTACTGAATTAGTTAAAGGAGATAGTCGGGTCACATCAAAATATAGTTATGTTCTAATGAATTTTATGTTAATGTTGAATGATTCGTAGCGTTATGACATAACAATATTAAAAATGAAAGGACTTCACTGAGATACATTAGCATATATTTTATCTGAACAAAGATTTTTTCTTTTAGAATATCATGGATTAAACACTGGTCGTTTCAAAGATTTATACAACAAAACCTTATGTATAAAAGTCGCAATTGAATCGAATCACGTGGAATAGTGAGGATTTTATTCGAAATTTGAAATAACCAATCAGCATACAATTTGTTAATGAGATATGACATGGTACTTATATTTAAAAAAAAATCATATTGTATGTAATCATTATAGTATACATTTAATTCTTAATCTATGGTTATTTTAAATTGACATAATTATTAGGGAGTAAAGACGGACCTTGACTGAAGTTCTGAACATTTTTGTAATTTGTCCAGTGTCGGCTGTAGTTAAATACCTTATTGAATAAAAAATATACATTTGTTATTAAGGATTTTTCTACAAAATAATTTATTTCACTTATAAGGTATCATAATTGACATAAAATAAAAGCTCTGACCAAAGACATACGAAGAAGAATAATTAATTCTCTATGACGATAAGTTCTCGAGCCGACACCGTCTTGGTCTTAAAATATTTTTGTATGTATTGAATTATCGTTCGTAATAATCAGCCAAGGCCGTTAACAGTTACTCTATATAAAAGGCACTTATAGTTATGTAAAAATACTTATTTTGTATACTGTAAATGTTGCATAGTAAAAATATGATATATTAAAAATATATAATCAGCAATAGCAACACAAGTTCTATTAAATACTTTTGAAATAAAAAATATATATAATATAAAAGAATATTATAAATTGATTAACTCGAAGAGAACTTTAATATCTATGGTCCAATAGAGAGTTAGCATAAAATCAGATATTACTAAGTTATCAAAATAAAGCGTCGTTTGTGCTAAAATCAATCACTTGATTAATAATTATACATTACAATTTAATGGTAACTAACATACTATTCACTAAAGAAATGTTTTTCTAAAATTCATTACTTAAACTTGTACCTGACGTCATGATAATTTAAAAATTAATGTGTCATTACAATTATGTATTCATTACAATAAATAAATATAAAAACAAATTGGATTCTGTGCGGTTCTGTCAGTATCTGTTTCGTATTATCATGTTGGCAAGAGTTCATACATTGTATAGCGTGACAATAAATGCTTTAAAACAAAAACTTCGATTATTAAAAAATATGAAATACTATTAATAGTCCTATAATTAACTATGTTATTTTGTTTGAGACGAAAATAATGAATCCAATATACAATGATAATATTCGCTGGAGCTTATTATGCATAGCTGTGGTAGGTAATGTGTTTTATTCGATATATAGATCGCTCTATGTGATGACAAGGCGTGGTGTTGGTAGTATGTTTGTGTGTTCCCCGAAGGTCATTGCCGTCATCCATTTAAGCTGATCCTCGGTGACCGCGCCAGCTATAGTACATCCGAACCACGGTCGGTCTTTACTTCTGCAATATTAATTTCATATAACACTTGGTTAACTAATTCACTATTTATATACACTAATATAGACAAAAAAAAATTAAGAAATGTTACTAAGTTACGAATTAATAAATCATATGATTGCATGCATTATCAATAAATTATTAAAACGCATATAAGCTATGGTTATGTATAAATAGCATTACCTTTTCTGTTTATTATTTCTAGGTATAAAGGTGATCGCCCACCGGGACTGAGGATTCCGCTTTGGTTCATGACCAACGTACCACAGCAAGTCTTTGATGTTCCACTCTTCGATCTTGTGAGAGCCCTTTAGAAAAACAATAAAACCGATATTATTATTCATAATAATAGTTGTGCGATTATATAAATACTGTAACTTTCATTACAAAAATGTTTACCTGTTTATCTTTAAAGTAACACAATTTTGAATTACTGAACTCAAACATATGTTGTTTAAACGATTTCGTAGTTTCATTTGCTATTCGTAGCTCACCACAGACCAGCGACGTAGAATGTCTCAACGCCTCCAGTTCGTGGAGTATTTTATTTTCTTTAACTAGTAGATAGTTATCCTTCCTGTCGTCCTCGTCCCAGTATCCCCACCGTAGTACCACGTCTAAAATAACTTCGTCTATATGAACGACGCGTCTCATTGAACCGTTGCATATAACCTCCTCCACCATCAATAAATGTGATTCCATTTTCGCCTTCTCGCATAATTCTATACAAACAGTTGCACTTGTTTTGTTTGGTGTTAGCTGAAATTTAATTATTTTTAAACAAAAATAAAATTCTATGAAAATCTAATAGTATACTGCATTATCTTTAAATCTAGTTAGAGAACCAAAAGGAAGTCAAGTTAATACAAATATGAAATAACACATTGCAATGCAAATTTATTTATTTAGTTAAAAGTATATATAGTTAGCCATTTCTTTATACACTCACCTCAACCTGATAGCACGTGTCTCTGTTATGAACGTACACCCATGCTCGCAAGTCACCCGCACTTTTCGGTTGTACCGGTACTGTGTTGTTCATAGCTTTAGACAACATCTTCCTTATAACAGCCTCCCTCCTACGTTCGCTTTCACTCGGATCCCAAACAGCCTCGTAGTGTGTTATGAGATCCTTCACTACGTACTGTTCCTTAGCAGACCACGCTGTTTGCAAAGTTTGGCTTGTCTGTAACAGATTTAATTATTTAATAAGTTAGAACCATAGTGGGACCATACTCTATTCCGACTGCCATGACACAAGAAGAGGATAGAGCACAATGATAGCGACTTGTCAGAGAATTGGCGGACTTCAAAATAATGATTACGTAGAAAACGAAAAAAAAATACGACATGAAAAGTTTATTTTAATTTAACACTAATTTTATTTTGCTAAGTTTTAAATAAATGTCATTGCAATTGACAAAGAAATAGTTTGTTGAAGAAATAATCTATAGTCTCTCATTTTTTTTGTTTTTAATACCTAAAAGGCTTTGCTTTACTTTGCCACTAACATCACTTTGACGACCTTTAATGAAATTTTAAAACTATTTTCACAGCTTAAATAAAAAAATGTTAAATAGTAGTAAATAAAAAGGTATACATTGTTTGTATTATAAGTGACTTCTCTCTGACTTTAGAATCTTTTTAGAGTTTTTAATCTAACCGTTGGATCAGTTATAATTTTGATTTAAAACTCTTCTAATGATCAAGAAACGGATCAATTTATTTATGATATCAAATCTCTTATGGTAACAAATATGCATGACTTATATATACCAGTGCAGTGGGCATGATAGTGGGCGCCCAAACTGACGCAAGGTTCGAGGCGCACATCTTGTTAACACGAGACATGGTGTGGAGACAGTGGAGGTGAGCAAACAACTTGCGAGCTGTGCGCTGAGGCACTAGGGGCAGTGACGTCATCAACCGACGATACTCCAACATCCGAGCCTCTTTGTTGAGATCTGTTTAAGGATACATACGTTATAATTATGTAACTTTTAATTACAGTCACTATATCTTGTGAAAGAAACAACACCTGGTACCTACTGAGTTTTTTTTAATTATTAAGATATATATCTAGCCAGCAGCTTCGAAGTTTCAATTTTAATATATAAATATTCAACATTCATCGAATATTCTAAAGGATTATAAACGGATTATGGCCAACAGTTAAGTGGTTAAGATTTCAGCGATAGACTGAATTTCACATCTTAAATTTAATTACAATTAAACATTACATAACAATTTAATACCTAGGGCAGCTATAAGTTCGGCATGATTTTCCTTCGGCACGAGTGACTGTGGGAGGTCTCTGAAGAATCTTTTAAGGACGCCGGCCACGTCGTGCTCAGAGTGTGTTCCTGGTGTTAGTTGGACAGACCACGAATCGCGGCGGAAACGAGACAAAAGTTCAGACAACACAGAGGAACTGCCAGCCCTTCGATATATACCCTCTGACAGACTACCTGTAATAGCATAATTATTAACATTTTAAAATCACTTCTCCATGAACCCAACCTGTTGAAAAAATCGATAAACCAAAGAATTCAAAATTAATATGCTCTCATACTGTTAGTTTATATAAAAATAATACAACTAGCGCCATCTAGTGGTAAACATGTAAGACACATGTAGTAATTTAGTTTTGTCTATGAATAAAGACAGTTCGTTTTGGCGTAACAAGCAAGCACGTTGTTTTATTACATACAAATACTAAGATGAGAATTTCAATTGCTTTAAATATATATCAGGTTAAAAATTATGTTATGTTGTTTGTAAAAATTGTAATAAATGTACAAATGAACATACCATGAGCATATATGAAACTGAGACATTTGTCCACTATGACCGGTACATCCTCTTTAGTTAGTTGTTGATGATGAATGTGGGAACCGTTATTATGAGCTGAAAGTTTCACCATGTACTTCCAACCCTGAAATAAAACAATAATATTATCCATTTAAAACTTTTTTCCTCTTGCAGCTGAATTCAAAACGACAGATACACAAGCTATACCTTGTTTGTTTGTGTAATGTTTTTGTTTGGTAGAGTTATAAACAATCTGCAGTCTTGCAGTTTACAATAAACTCGGAATTTAATACTAATACAATTTATTTTTTTTAGCGTTTGCTCCCTTACTTATGAATACAAATTAATTTATAATAGAATATAAAAAAAATCAAGCTGTAGATTTGTTTTTCAATAGGAATGATATTTTAATATTATAATTTTGACCAGTGGACATTGTTGAGTGAACTGTAAATTTTCTATCAAACATCTACGTTTAAATTTAATACCTTAAGCTCCCTTTCATGAGGAAATCGTAGATACAAAGTGACGTGCGGACAGTCCAGTAAGAGATTCGGACTGTTGTCTGACGGACATGAATTCTTTGTTTCTTCATCCGCTTCCTGTGTTGCTGGAAAATATATATTTATATTTATAATTCATTGACTAATAAGATTTTTTCTCATTTATATAACAACATTATTATCTGCAAGCGAAAATATTTTTTGCAATTAATTATAATAATTAATCTCCATGTTCTAGAAATAATTAATTTTTTCCTCATTTTTGAATTTAACACAAAAAATCCCTGAGCTATCGTGTATTTAGAGGATAGTGGTGGCTATCATGCATGAGCCTGCGGATTCGAAAACTGACAAGTAACCAATTTTTTTTTTTTTTCAACTAATATGTACTCCCTAGAGTATTTAGACACCGCTGATAAGCAGAGAAGGAAAAAATCCTGAGAAAACATGGACTTATAATTTCAATTTAAACTTTGAAATCGCCTATCAGCCTCGAGCTAGCGTGGTGATTAATGCTTTAACTTTCCCCCTGTGAGAAGTGGCATTAGCTTATTAGTGGACACCAATAGGCCGATAATGATAATAAAGTTCGTTTTTTGATATCAACTTACTTTAATAATAATATATAATGAATGTAAGACAAATAATAGATATTGTCAACATGGATAGTTTTTAAACAATTCTCATAAATGTAAGTCATTCAATACACTACTAGTCACCACATGACTGTATCAGGGAGTGATACTCGCAACTTATGAGTCATCTCCCCTAGTACTGACTGCAACATCGCTATGATACTAATACCTTCCCATTTAGGTTGTGACCTAATTACACAATGTTCGATGCCATATTAACTAACACTGCACGGAACGTAATAAACGCATAATAATTTAGATTATTTTTTAATATTACATAATGGTATGTGTCGATACATTGTACTGGGTTGATGGTTACATTTTTATATATACCCATGAACTCTGTCACAATAGAGGACGGAAGCTGTAATTATCATTATTTAGTTCATACGAGTGGGACGTATCATTGAAAAAAACGCAACGCAGTTCGGACCCTTGATTTTGTTTTCAGTAAATTCTAATATTATAATTCGAATTGTGATTTATTGCTAAGAAGATGTTAAAAACACATTAAAAATAGTCTTCTTTCAGAATGGCATAATAATTGTGGAATTAACAATGAAAATATTTAAAATCAGTTAATAAAAATAAAAAAACAAATTCTTAAAAAGTGTAACGGAAGAAATTCCTTCGATATGAAAGTTTTGCGGCGAATTCAATAACAAACTCTCTAGAATGCAATAAATCTATCAAAATGTTTTTATAGACGCATAAGTTATGCGGAAATGGACATATAAAAAATGATATGTAATTATGAGTCAATTGTTTTTTAAGCATTCCTTTATAATTTATATAACACGATGTATGTTTGCTATTTCACTTGCACTCACCGATGCATCTCGTCTTTCTCAGATCCACAGTATGAACTTCGTCCTGTTTGTAACAATAAACGAGCACACGTCTCACCAACATCACCCACGCCCCACACCAAGCGCCGCTCACACCCTCCTTAAAACATTATAATATGGCTTGTTACATTTTATATTCACAATGAGTACTTTCTTTCATTAAGTGAACCAGTGAATAAACAAAGAGACACAATCATCATAAACACAGCTATCAAGTATTTGTTACAAAAGCATCCTTTGAAGCGTACGCATATTTCACATATTTGTTAATCTATAATTACATTTATTACTGTATCTAAGATAAGAGAGTAATAAACCATTTTCTAATAGTAAATACAGATAGGTTGCGGTAATATTGATTATTATCAAAGATGAAGATAACAGTACATCGTTGCTTAACGTCATCAGTTTTTAATATTAACCTTATCTCTCGTTTCTCAAGGGATTTCTTAATCATAATAATTATTAAACATGAATCGCCACAAAAACTATCAAAGTATTAATTCGCTTTGCTTAGCTTATCTTATTTTATGGAAAATAAAAAAAACATATTGTTTAAAATAGAACAAACTAGAACAGTTAAATATAATCACTTGAAATAAAAAAAGAAAAGTTTAGAAACAAATTCTAACAATAGTCCGCAGGCACAACAAAAACAAATCGTATTTTCAAAACAAGCCTCCACTTATACACAATGTGGAGAGATCATTGCTTTTTTGTTTTAGCTGCAACGTAAAGATTTACGAAATACTTATTTTAGGATACAAATGTTTTGTTCTTATAACATTTCGTCCTCAAAAATAATATAAATATATAATAACAATGTGACTCATTTGTAATTTTATTCTGATAGCATTTGTTTGGACGGGTTGTTGTAAATGTCAATTACACAGCTACCACCGTTCAGCAGTTTTCGAGTTCTACACAGAGGAATAAATAAAAAGAAATGAAATCGCAGTTGCATGCAGTGGCCTTATTAAATACAGCTTGTAGAATATATAGCATGAATCAGCCGAACGACATTTCAACAATCCATTCAATCGCAGAGCTTGTATTATACTACAGGAATCGCGTCTGTTACACGTCATTGAATTATAACAAGGCCAAAACAAAAATGTTAGTTAGCAAACATACTAAAACTAATGTATTTATGTAAGTGCAGAACGAAAAATATAGAAACATAAATAAGATAAATGGGTTTTGTGATACGACAGAGATAGTAATTTATATAAAACAAATATTGTCTCGCATATTACGTAGAATCAGCAATGTATACAATACATGTAAAAGTATTTAGCACACGCAGCTTGTTACTGTAAACGAAGTAACATTGTAAAGTAAATATTATTTATTTCATGAAACTTTAACTGCAGCTTTTACTTTACTTGTTAGGAAATTTAATATATATAACAAACTTTTAATCATGGCTTTGCTTACATCAATAGCTTGTTAAAAATGCATTTCTATTGAATAAAATATGAAAATGTTTTGCATATTTTTTAAGAGATTTTTATTATAATCAATGAGGTAATTTTGGCTTGATTATATAGCTAGCAATAAGAAGAAATTCAATCAATGATTTACTTTTCATGTCTTTGTATTATGATAAACATCACAATTGAGGCAACAGAAAATATTCATAATATAATCAATAAAATAGTACACTCAATATTCATATACTTATAAATTTAATTTTTATTCAAGTGTTATGTGAAAAAGTTTTTGAAAAAAGGTTTTTTCTTTTTATTTATATTAATAAAAGCAGCAATATGCTTTTTGTTTATATTTTCATGCTTTTTATAGATAAAACTTCATGATTTACTATTTACCATGAATTCGTTTCATCTAATTCATATTTTTGATTGAATCTGTCATAACTCCATTTGACACTTATAATAAATAACAAACAGAACCCTAACAAATCAAATCATACAAATTGGTTCAGGATGCAGTGTTAACACGACAATCACTTCAACTAATGTTATAGCAATTTATACATGATATGATATTCTTAGAATTATGAACATATAATTTAAAAGGTGAGATTTTATTCATTTAAATAATTATGTAATGAAAGAACCCTGCAAACCTGAATATCAATTTATTAAACAATTAAATCTATTTAACCATGTTATAAATATTTACCTTGAGATAACACCAGCCACATCTGGTATATTCTGAAGTGTATTTCACAGGTATGCCACTTGTCAAATGTTCAGCAATTTTTTGAGCCCAATTTCGTCTCTCTGATGCACTTCCACAATTGAATAAGATTTTTCTAGGTGCATTACGAAGACCAGTAGATACCATTAGCTCAAAACAGTAAGAGTTGTTTGAAGTGCTGTGTGGTTGAGAAATTTTGGTAAATATATTAAAAATTTATTGAAGTGCTTATAAACACATACTTCAAATAAAATAGATTTGAATATATTACCTGGATGACAATGGCAAAACTATTTGAAGAGAGAGTATATTATCTAAAATATATGCCTCTTTCATTATTAAATTAGCAGGATCAGTATAACAAATCAGTTTTTGATCAGACAACACACAGTATCGAGATTGGGAATTTTTAAATAAATCTTCAACAACGCCAGAGACTACTTTAGTCAATGTTCCACTGTAATATGGCACAGGATACTTGTTTAAAGGAGGACGCTCAATCACTTGAATTTTTTGTACAGAAGATTTACTATTAGATTTGCTAAGCTTACTATCCAGTTTTAGCATATTTGAAAATTTTTGCATCATAGAGCTTGATGCTTTGGTTTCCTCCTCTACTGGGTCGGTAGTAGAAGGATCTGTACCAACATACCAATTAGAAAGCTTTTCTTTTTCAGAACTGCTTGAGGAAGATTTTATTAAAGGCTCATTTGGTAGAAGACTATCTGAGCGTTCTGGTGGTGTGGGTGGATTGAAATAATCACTTTCACCAAAGTCATAAATTGGCTCGTCATTCCCACTGTCTGTTGAAATTATTGTGCCATATGTATCACCAATCAAGAATGATTCCAAAAGAAGTAGCTCATTACTGACACCTTCATACCTCTTTGCATTATCAGAGTTATTATTTAAAGGATCAAATTCATATATTGTACTTTTACTTGGCCTTGAAACAGTTTCTGGTTTAGTTTCACTAGGTTGCGTAAAAGGAAGGGTCCAATTTTCGTATAGGGAATTTTGTCTCATTATTTCAATATGACTATTTCTTTTGTGTCGCCTTTCAGGTACTTCAGGAGCAGATGTTGTACTTATCACACTATTGGCTCTAGAAGATTGCGGTGTGTCATAGGTATCATAATTTATAGGTAATTCTGTACCTTCAATTTCTCTAACATCATATGAAAGATTACTCATTGAATCAGTATTGGAATCTGAGAAAGTGGAATACAGTGAAACATCATCCAAATGAGTTGCATTTAATTGTAAAGATGGTAGTTGATTTTTTGTACAGCTCTCATCATCGTTTTTAAATCTCTTTTGTTCCAAAAGAGGAGAGTGAAATTGAATATTGTCAAATAAACTCACATCAACTGCTGGCATAGAAACACATCTTTGAGAATCTTCTTCTTCTGGACTTCCCACTCTCTTGGATAAACGTAACTTTAAACCCGCAGATTTAGTCCCTTCTATTACTGACTTAGTGACGGAATCTCTAACTGCCCTTGACGTGCTGATAGTTTTTTCTAAAGTTCCTTTAGCGAATTTTGAACCATCACTTATGGATTTTTCTATTTTTTCATTGGCGCACTTGGCGGAGTTGCTAACTTTTTGAGCAACATCTTCTGTTATTTGTTTCGAGACAGAACTAATAGAACGAAATATATCTGTCGCCGTGACTCTGTCATTGTTCACGGGGGGTTTAGTTCGAGGGAGTGGAATCGGCCGCTTCACATCATTTTGTTGTAAATGTGTAACCCGTGGTTTTGGAACGGGTGGTGTATCCATTAGGATATCTTTATTACAAGATAATATCTACACAAAACCAAACATGTTATAAGCAACGAACACTACTTAAAACGGATCATTAAAAACCATCAATATTATATCCTTCAAGCTATTTCTTTCTAAATTAATTGAAAATAACACAAAATAATACTTAAAAAAAACACTAAAAGAAAACAAAAACAAAAAAGAAACAAAATAACACTTTACTATCAAGTGTTACTATCGACTTTGAAGCGATCTATAAAGTGCACTTAGCCATTGTATTGTTGCCATTTATAATATATGTACATATTGAAGCTATAAAATATCGCAAACCCTGAAATAGCTACAAAAAATTATTTAATATTTTTATTTTTTAAATATCTTTTTGTTCGCAGAATAACCAAAATTTATATAAGTTTACTAATTTTTAGTATTACAATTCGTATAAATATGTAATAACTATTTAATTTCATCTAAAACCAGGAAGCCATTCCTTATTATTTTTGGTACATTTTTATTTGCTTACTTAAATTTAACATCGTATCTGAATTAATTTTCTAAAATTTAGATGAAAGATTGTTGTAAAAGACTTCCCTAACAGCGTGAAAAACGTTTAGATTATTATTGTAAAACCAAAAAAAAAAAGGTTGTAATAAAAAATATTTATACTATTACTTACATATCATAGTTTTTTTTTTGTTTAATTAGTTTTATCATCCAGCTTATTCCCCTAAAAAGTAAAAATAATTATTGTAGCAGACAAAAACGGTACAAGGAGCATATGATATTTAATAAGAATAATATTACATATTTCAAAGACAATATTCTTTCAACCTTTTTTAACATTTGTTAACAAGAGAAATCAGTTGAAGATTTTAAGTAATTTTTAATAAATCATTAATGATATTTACTTCAATTAGGACTTGAATATCTTAAAAAACTTTTTTTAGCAATAATAATGCGTCATCTTAACATACTAAAATGTTGGTTAATTATATTTTTCTATGATTCATCTACTAAACTACTTCTAAAATTAATGATAGGTCCCAAAATAATGAAGCTGAAGTTTTTATTGACTTGCTGGAAAATATTTCCTTCGGTATAATTACAAAAAGTTTGATTTCACAAAAACAAGGAAACAAAAAAAAATTAAGTTTCTCAGTAGTTTTCTAAAAGATACGAGTCAAATGGTTTCTAAACAAACTTATCCCTCAAATAAAACTCAGAAAAAAGATGCACGTTTATTTATTCATGTTTCAGAAAAATCACAATTGTAAAAGCGGTTACAAAGTCCCAACAGACCATTTTGGCATTTATTTAACAGCTAGACAACCCTTACAAACATTTCAGATGCCAAAACATTAAAAAATTTTGTGCGTCATTACATTTGTATATTCAAATATTTAAATTTTACAGCTATTATTGCTATTAAAGTTGTTTAAAATGCTTGAAATTATTTTGATCTTTTTAAATTCCTGCAGGACCTCGAACCAGTATATTATGCATAATTAAAGATTACAAATAAGATTGTTCATTAACCCGAGTCATAACACTACTTGTATACTTAAATTGTAAGATGACTACATTTGAAAATATAATTCAAATTATACTTTTATAAAGTAAATAGGTATATTAAAGGAATTTCAAATACCATATTATATAATTAAAAATCCTTTTCATCAAACATTGCCCAACAGACTTTGTTATCGAAAATTTGTAAATGCTAATAAAAAGACAAAACATTAAAATGTAAAATTAAACAACAAAATTATATTTACAATTTAGCAATAAATAATTACAAAAAATGATTAGTAAATAAAAAAAATTAAATATGTAGATGTAAATAATTTCAATATATTCCATAATATTGTTCAGAACACAGGCATATACTGGAATGGACTAAGCTAATAAACGAAATTCATTACACTAGCTTATAAACGACTACACCGATTATTATACGAAATGTATAGCAAAGGTTTTACCTAAACAAAGGGTTATGTGCACACTGAGGGTATACGGAAATTCTATTACAGATTTATCACTCTAGCATTCAGTTAAGACAGTTTAAGAAGCAGTGTCGAACAGAATAGAGAAATAAATATGAAAATATATAAATATAAACTTAAAAATTTTTAACACTGTAAAATTTTAAACACACTCTTACATGACATTCTAATTTAATTAATGGATAAACAATATCCACATTAAATTAGAAATGGATAGACTTTGTCGTATAAATATCGAATACGGAAAATGATAACGAAAATATAGCATGCACGTTTTAGAATGAAATATAACAAGCGTAAGCGGAAACTCAATACATTAATAAATACACAATGTATTGCTGGCATAAGATAAATACTACTTCTTCAAATAAAAACATAGACAATTCCATATCTATTGATTTTTAATTACTATGTATTTTACCAAGTCCTATAACAAATAACACGACCCCTTTAATACAGTCTTCACAGCTACTGAGGCAATCGGAATGCCAAACTATATTAGTAAATACTTACTATCTCTTAATAAGATTTTTTTTGCACGTTTTTGACATTAGCATAAAATGCAGTTTGAATCAGAGCTCAAAATTCATCATTTTATTGTCAACAATAAAAAAGAAATAAACTAGAAACACCGAACAATTATCTACTTTAAATGCAATATATTTTTGTTAATCTGATAACTGATCATGTTTTTTATAATGTTACCGAGAGTAATACAATTACATACCCATTACTATTACAAATTATTTGCTTATTAATCACAACAGTACTATTATATTATTTATTATAAAACAGTATAAGCCTGTTTACCAACTATGACATTCTCAACTTAAGTCTAACTACATATAAAGCAAAATTGAGACCGATTAAAGTAAGTGCTTAAATGTTAATGTATTCATTCATTGTGATGTTTTATTTTTATCTTAATTTTTAAGTCAATAATATTCAGACTTATTGCAGTCTTGGGTACATCAAAATTAAAATGGATTAAGTCAAAATGACACGTATGAACATATGTCATGCAATCAAAATGGTTGTATTATAAAAAGTTCAAAATATTTTAAATACAGTTGTCTCTATTCACTTAATTTTATATACTCTTGTATAATTTGAGCACAGAGTGTATAACACAGAACCAAAAGTAAGCTTCGCTTTAAACGGGAACATAAAAGTTTTGATATAAATAAAGGTAAATATATCACCGATATTGTGTAACAGAAAGAGTGCTTAATTCAAAATGGATTTAAAGACAGCTATGGGATATTGATCGAATGTTACATGTTGTAAGCTATGTATATAGCATCAATCTGATCGGAGAGGAATCCGTCACGAAGGTGCATGCGTTGTTTCTCTCCTCTCGAGTTGATGGGCACCACTCCGGGGTCTACAACCACCACAACTCCAACAATTAGATGGTGCTCCTCCAGCACAGTATTCGTTACAAGGGGCACCAGATTCAAAGCTTCACTGTCATTTCCGTCCAGCTCTACAACTACCACAAGCAGATTTGTCCATGTAAAAACAGCGCTGAAATTATAATAACAAGATTATAATAAAGTTAATTCTGTGCTAGAGCATGTAAGTTATTGTGTTTTGATGGTGAATTGTAACAAAATATTTAATAGATAGTTAATACTTGTTTACAACAGTAAATATATAAGTCTGAAGTGGCGAACCTCGGAAATATTTAAATGGTATAAAAAATAAGCGAACTCATTTTGACTAATACGTACCATTCAGCGATTTTTTTATGGCACCTCATAACTGAATTTTCGATATCGATCGGATGGTATCTCATACCGCGTAACATGATTGTTTCATCGAGAGCTCCCACCACGAACACAGCGTCGTGTGTGTCGTGAGTGTCCGTTAGACCGGACACACTGCCGCAACCAGATAACATGGACTCAGTGTCACTGTCACGTGCCAATAGGGACGTGTCGTCAGATGCGTTCGTCGTACTGATTTCAGTTCGTCTCAAAAAACCCAGATATCCGGTTCTAGCGTAAACCTCCCCAGTGTTACCGGTAACTAATTGAGCACTAAAATGGTCAGCATAATCACTTTCATCACCATATATCGTGAAGTAGCCACTAGCGTTATGAGGTGATTGCACCCATATTTCACCTAAATGGGAATCTCCGCACTGGCCTTTAGTTTCAGGATTAGCTGTGATTACTTTAACACCTGGCAACAGTTTGCCGGACTCCATAAGGCAAAGAGAGTGAGGGCTTCCGCGTTCCACTAACGAAACACGATCATTACGCAATGCTCTTAGATCGACATATACTGTAGACGGTTCAGGACTTGATGCACCTTGAAGGCAGATAGCTATGTTAACACGACAACCGAACGATGTGGACACCGCACGCGGAGTAAGGCCCAGTGCTGAGAATAACTTCGAAAATGAGTTTGTCAAATTGATTCGTGGTCGTTCTTCCGCAACTACAACACACGTTCTAACGCACGCCAAATTAATTCCTTTTGCCTTAAGCTGGTTAACCGAGCTGCCGAGGCCTTTGGTACACAATTCCATTACACCGTAAGAACAGAACGTGTCACGTACTTTATATTGAGATACAGCACTAAGCCATAAGGCGGGATTAATTTCCACTTCTGATGGAGGAATAAGAATAGAATGGTGACCGGAGTAAATGCTACTCAAACACCATAAAGCAAATCCAAGTCCGCAGTACGGGTCCAAGCAGAGTGCTATGTGTCTAGAAGGGTATAATTCGCAAGCGATTTTCATTGAACGGCAGAGGGAAGTGACAGCTGCATGAGACATCTTAATACCAGCCAACATCCCGGTAGTAGAAACACTGAAGTCCAAATAAGCAAGCATTTCTGCTGTAGGAGCTCGGTATAATATTGGTAACTTCTTCTTAGGCACGTCATCCGTATCAAGTGTGATAGGCCATGCCTTGCTATCGAGAACATTGCTAGCTTCTTTTGATCTGAGCAATTTTATCACAGATTGATTGGAAAGGATCAAAGTAGCTTTGCTCACATCTACTATCATGCGTACCGTTGGTAGCGTGGTATGGAGGTTCTGAGGATGTGGTGGCCTAATTGTAACGGGAACAGCACCTACGTACAAACAGCCGTAGAATGCGCAAATGAGATCTAGACCCGGTGGAAATATCAAAGCTACATGGTCTCCGGTATTCACTCTGCCTTTCTCTAGCAATAGGTTTCCAATTCTTTCAGCTTTCTTATGTAATTCGGCACATGTCAGTACTTTTGATACAGCACCTTTGGAATTAAGCAATGTGAATATGACATGGTCGGATGTGCTCTGAGCGCGCCACCTTAATATTTGTGATATAAACTGATACTGAAAAGGAAATATTCATATTAGAAGGTTAATTAAGAGGCTATTTTAAAGATATGAAATATAAATTAAATACTTTTCTAGCAGCATCAGAATCATCACTATATCCCATATCCCGACCCTGAGCAGACGCTAGACGATTTCCTTGAACTAAATTTCCAACTATGACGGAAGCTGGTCCAACATCTGTAAGAAATTTTATTATGTTTTAATTGTAAAGGATTTTTATTGATCCTTCATCATTAATTCTCAATTAACGTCATATGGTCAAAAAGGTTAACTACTTGCCTGAATGTATTTCTCTAGGTTTCGGAAGGTTGGTAACGCACGTATGTGGACACATCAATACGTTGGCAGGATGAAGAGTTCCTTCAAGGAAACGTCTCTTGCATTCGCTGAGGTGTATCCCACCGAGTGGCGTTTTGGGTAGATAGTTTGGTTGCACAAGTGCCAAACAATATATTCCCACTTGGTGAATAGAATCAACGGCTTGCAAAACCCGAGACATCCATTGGAATGACTGGAAATAACGCAAGATTTATTTTTATTAAATGATATTTTAAATGTCAAATTGGTGTGCGTATCAACTAAGACAAATTATAGTTTTGGGGGAGTTCTAACTTGCTTTTAAAATGAGTTACGCAGTTACACCACTTACCTCTTCTTCCCCACAATCTGGTCTTTGTTCCGCCACTATACATATCCGCTCATCTCGCAACACTCGAACAGAGAAAACTGCTATACGACCCCTGTATATGAACTTCATTGGTTCCACAGCAAGGACAGTTGCTATTATATCGTCCATGTTGTGTTTTCTGCCAGTAACCGTCATAAGACCATCACGAGAACCGCAAACGAAAACTAAACCTGTACATGAATAAAATGATTGCAAACAGAATTCAATTTAAAATTGAGACACATTTTACAGATTATTATCTTATTAGATATTGTTTTTTTTACACTTGAACTATTAGAGCTTCGTAAAAACATTTACCTCCAGGGCCGAGGAAACCCAGTAACCCGCTTCTAACATAATGTTCCTCTCCAATAGGCTCCCCGTCAGCATCCAACGGTTGTACTCTAAATACAGTGTTAGTTAAACCGGGTAGTCCCCAGTAACCCGATCCAGTGGCACCTGACAATACACATATCTCCCCCACTTCGTCGGTCTTGCATAGATAGGCAGGACCTTCCATCTTCACTACCACGATTACACCTTAAGAAATACATGATGTGGTTAACAGGATAATCTTTGTTACCGTACATCTAAATTCAAACATAATTTTTATTATTTTCAAACACTCACGATACAAGGAAATATTTACTCTATAACTAATTTCATAGTATTTACGTCTGAGGATTTTTCAATATTAAGTATCTGGATAAATATATTTGAAAATTGCAGATTCACTTACAAGTTTCGTGCAACTAGTACGAGTATTTTCCTTAAAAACTAAACTACTGTATTACAGCGACCATTTGACAAGTTAGGTACTTTTAACTAAATCTACAACTAAATAAACTCACATGATGGCATAACTTGTCCGCAGTCTTGAAGGGTGAGTGATGTGAGTGAGTTCTCAGCGTCTACACGCACCACTCCGTACGATAGTCCGGACATGGAGAGCACGCCCCGGCCGGCCGCTGCTCCCCCTCGTCCCGCACGCCGCACGCATACAGTCAACGACTCGCTGCTACATGCACACGGACAGATAGCGTCGCCGCGAACACCTAATAACAATCACATATATACATAATCGTTAACACAGCTACTAGTTGTAAAACTATAATCTTTCGTTTGAATTTTTGTTAGGTGAGAAATTAATTACAGTCAGAACTTATCTCTATACACTTATACATTGTCGGTATACGAATTAAATCAACGGAATTCTTTTGATGTCAGCATATGTTAATAAAATTAGAATTTATAGATAAAACAAAATAAAAACGTGAAGCATTATACAAAATAGACGCCACAAAGCTTCAACACGTCTTACCTTTACTTTGGAATACTGATAGAAACTGATCACACGAAGATAGAGACCAAGGGTTAGCTCCATCGGCGACCAACAACATCCGCAAAGAGCTAAGAGATATCTCCTTGTGATCCCGAGTCGCCAACAGGCCCCAGTGGAGATCACGTGACTTCACAATCGCGACCGACGCCCTAAAACAGTCACTTATTTAATTATTTGTGATTCATATGAATCATTACTCACTTAAATTGACGCACAGCCGTCTCATGAGTGGTACACAATAAAACAAAAACGTAACATTTTAAAGTATGACCAACCTGTATTTAGTGATCATGTGCATCCAGGAGGCCGGGCTGACTTTCATGAGGGCGTATGGTATGAATATAACGTGCATTCCATTGAGAACGCTGGCTAACACCGCGTGCCACAGACCAGTTTCGCGTTTGAAGTCCAACACGCACACCATGTGTTCGCCTTCGGTGTAGTTGCAGGCGACGGACAACATCCGACTATGTGCCAACATTGACGATCTGTAACAAAGAATAATTTGAAACCGATCCCATAAAAGCTTTTACAATTGTTCTCATGAATACACCAATTTATGTTCGTAAATAAAGAGATTTAAAGGCTTACGACAAAGACTTTCTAGATTTACTTACCATGTTAAAAAATATTTATATACCTATAAAGGTACCCTAACTCTTTAGAATTACATACATGCTAGTGCTTGTGAAGCAATTAGTACTTTCTTTCAGAAACAACTGAATGAATTTTGACATGACTTTAACTTGTCGGATTACTAAAAATTCTTTTGTATATTTATTTTCTTTTCATTAAAATTAGTTTTACGAAAAGAAAATAAATGTGTACACTCACAAAGACAAATAAAATACGAGATATGCTAACCTATTATTGGAATTTTTTAAAATACTTAATAAAATATTGTATTCTATTGCTATCGTGTTATGTTACGTTACGGTTATGGTATTGTTAGTCTCTTAAGATACTTAGCTGCCAGAGCCCCACAAAAGCTATTGCAGGCAATATAAACTTGAAAACAGAGTTATTCCGTCTTGCGCTTCCCAACTACTTTTATTGAGAACTCACGAGTTAGATGCATTGCAGAAACTTTTAAGTCTCAACTCAAGAGTTGGAAATGTAATCTAAATATTAAATTGAAAAGTTTGATTTGTTTATAAATCCTTCTTAGTATAACTCCTGTATTTCTACTTTGACTTTAGTTATATAATTCTATTGAATTTTATTTTTTGAGCAGAAAAAATCATTTCTCTAAGTTCTTTTATTTCTCAAAATCTATATTTTTCATAAGTCAATCATGAAAATAATTAGTTCCCGTGCAGAATTCCGAAATAAATTTTATTTTATTAAAATATCATATTTATTTTTAATTTATTAAGACTTAAGAAATAAAATAAGAGAAGCTTTGTATGGCGAGAAACTTCATAAGGGTATTACTAAGGACTTTTTTTTAATTTTCTTCATCTCTATTCACACATGTAAACAAATCTAACTAAGTCAGTTAAGCAAGTATTTAAATATGTATAATCATATATTTAGATTAATATCATTTAGGTTCTAGCTCCAAAACAAAATGTGATAAGCAAAGATAAAAAATTAAAACTGAAAACAAAGTTTCCAGCTTCTTAAAATTACTTCAGCTGTTTTCTATATCCTTGTTATATTTACTATTTCAGTCAGAACATGTCAATGAACATTTTATGTCGTGATTAATTATTCGTTCAAATACTACATATAACATGCAATATACCATTTTTCAAATGCGACATGTTTAGCATTATTAAAAGCTTTTCGTCATCACACAAAGCCTAATTCGATTACTAAGGGCTGTCTATACAACGTCACATTCCATCGATGTTGAATTTTAGTTGCATTCCGATTTATTTGACCATTAAATTCAATTTCGACGAAATAAACTAAGTTAAATTTTAGTCCCTTTCATTTGTTTTGGTATAACAGTGAAATGCTATGAATACCAAAATTTTCATTTATCACTATTATTGTAGTCAGAATTTATAGTCATAATGTAATTATTAAACACATTTAATTATAAATATTTTAAAAGAAGTAACTGTAATCATTTCATATATACTATAATCTATTATTTGCAGAACAAACAAAAGTAAAATATATTCCCGGAGTCTGCGAAATATCATGTTGAGTGTATGTTTAGCCTACATTATGTATACGGCGTACTAGTTTCTCTGAGATAAAAATCTAATAAACTGTTTCATTTATTTTTTTTTAAATTATATCTTTAAAAATAATAAGTGTATTATACATTACGTGTTCTTTATTAAGATAACAATTACATGAAACATTTAAAATTTTTTGTGAGTAGTGAATTTCTATACTGAATAATAAGAAGAGTAACAACTCAAAAAAAAGGAGGGGTCAGATTTTAGAGAAATATCATAAGCTAAAACAAAATGCTAACTATATCCCATATTGTTATTTAGAAAAATCAATAGGGAATATTGCATAGAACATTATTATAATCAATAACTGTTTATAAGTAAGTGACGTACCTTGTAACGATGACTCCCATAGCTGAACCATCAGCGGCGGAGGTGTGTTCTATATGAGCCGGTGAGTCTTCAGCGGGGCGCGGCGGTGGGATCCAGTCTCGAGGAGGTCGCTGCAACTTCTCTGTAGACACCCATTGAAGCGACGGCCAGCCACGGAAGGATACCACATCTCCCGATGACGTTTTCGGTAACCCTTTATATTTTTCATGTTCAAATATATATCAATTACTTGGTGAATAAATTTAGTTCATATTTAGTCGCCTGATAGGTAAGACGCCTGATATTGTCATTTAAATTCATGAATAGATCATTTTTTGCTTACAAATATAATGATAATATAATGAGAATAAACTTCTATTCAGCGTAAACTTAATAAAAAGTGATTGATTGAAATAAAATTTTCCGACGGGAGCTAAAATCTAATTTATTCCACCACGATATCTACTGAAAGGTAAACTTAAAAGAAATACAATCAACTTGTCACTCTGAAGTGAATAATTTCCACTTGTTCAGCACGTTTTAAATTGAGTTTAGTTAATTGCTGGATCACCGACGTCTAGACGAAGTTTCACAACGTTTAAACTATTCGATTACTCGTTACAAAACTCCAGATAGCGCATTATACAAATTTGCAAACATTTTATTTCAAAGGGTAGCGAAAAAATTGATTTTGCTATGTAATTGTTGAAAGTAATCAATTAACGGATAGATTATGTTAATTTTATAAATAACCATGACTGAACGTGGCATTTTGATAACAGGTACAGTTACTTTACCCTTTTCGCAGGCGAGAGGGGTTGTAGCTAAACTTAGTCCCGACCGTTATATATAATGCAGGGTCAAATATTGATTCAGACATGGAGGGTCCTATTTAAGCCAACTTTAATTGTCTGGCCTCTGAGTGACAAGTATATCGAATGTATATTTTTATTATTTGTATCATCTAAATCAATAAAAAGGTTGAATTATATAAAAGAACCAATCTTGAATCGCTATCTATGTATGTACCCGACGTCAAAAAATTTATTATTGAAGTATATATTTACTATTATATAGCTTCCTCATTAAGACATATTATTTCATATGATATTGATTTGTGTTTATAAGGTTGGGTTTAAAATTTTTAATAAAGCTACTTTATATTATGTGATTGACTTCGTATGAATGATGGTGATATGTGAAATAATCTATACAACAAATGTTTTTCTTTTATGATAACAATCAAATAGCTTAACTGATAATAGATTTAAATATTTTCCATTACTAAGAAAATATTTTTCAATTTAGAATCATTTAACGGTACATATGTAAATTGAAACTTCCGGTTATCCGTTACGTATCCATAAAACAATCAGTGAACCAAAAAAAATCGAAACATACGCAAACAATACGAACCTTTCAAGCAGTTGTCAGACGTGAGTGCATATTGTATCCCACAAGATCCCAACAGGAAGCCGACTTGCTGAAGGCCGGCGTCCCGTCTCGTCAATGGCACTTCAATCGGCACTGGCACTATGCCGGCTTGCAGGCAACCGTAGAACGCACACATGAAGTTTATAGGATCATTGTTAGGGTACACCAGAGCCACCCTGTCCCCCGGCTTTATGGAATTATCCCCCGTCAGCGGTCCGCCACTGCTAGTTTTCGATGTGAACGTTTTGTTCAGCAAAGCGTGAGCAATTTTTAGTGAACGGCTTAGCAACTTGCCTGTGGGAGGAAGGCATAATTAGTTTTCTTAATTTTTTTAGTCACAAAGGTATTGCTTATATGTATATGTAGATGATCTAAGAGGATGAATCAGAATAGAAATCTCCAAGACGCAAGATTGCTATAATTGTTTTATTATTATTACGTTTGATAAGGCATTGGGTAAAGTTCACTGTCGTGGATATGTCTGGTTTTTCAACGTCAGACGTCTCGAAGATGTTTTAAGTTACGTAATCTCATGGATAAAGTCGACTAGACGCAGAGTTTAATACCGATATATGATATCTCAGGCTGGTGTTATTTTCAAATAGAATGTATTCAATAATGCTTACCATAGGTAAGTGAATTGCTCAGTTTTCCGTTAGGATCGAGCACTGTAGCTACGTTGGCTTTGAATGATGCTGTTCCATATCTCTGTAGAGCTGCTTCAAGGTTTCGTGGGAGTCCAGCGGGTACCACAAGTTGCTCGCCCACAGCCGGCGTCATTGTACCTCCCTCGGGTTTGGGTGCGTTCGGATCTTTGGGGTTTGCAGCGATTTCTAATTCAATGTCGTCGTCTTCATAGAACTCCGGCAGCGGTCGACGTTTCGGGCGCTTTAAGGTGTTGAGAAGTTGTTGTATTTTGGCTGATACCTAAACACGTCATTATTATATGTACTCTTAGTGTATGGTACATAGTGGGAAAAATTGTAACAGAATTAAAACAACATTTAATTTTAAGTGCTCTCTCCAATATAGCTCTCACCAATATAACATGTTAAGTATTTATTTTACTATTTTTAAACGTTGTGTATTCCCTTAGCCCTTAGCGATGCCTGAATATATCTAGTAAGAAGAATAATAAAAACAGTAATAGGATTAAGTTAATGGCGAAATGATTTTGAAAAAGCCATTTAGACATAGTAAGTCGCATATTAATGATGGATTAATGTTAAGCCACCTTTATATCACTCAGGTTTTCCTTAGATGTCGTAACATTGGTATCTTTTATTTATTTATGATCACAGAACTCATTCTTCCCCTTCAAACACTAACAGCCTCACCTTCCACCTGCCGGTGCCGGTGCCAGTGTCTTCGGGTTGAGCGTAACACTGAACACGGTCAGCTATATGAGCTCCACCACGCCGGGCCCCTGACGTAGTGTGCGTAACGTCCGGTTGGATGTCTGTTTGTATGATATTTACATCATTATAGAACCCGATATTATTATGTAACAGTTTAGACATCATTTGTTGTCGATTGTGTACAACATTTTAAGTACAGCTGCACTATTGTTTGTATCATCTTTGGTGTCATTAGAGCTGAATCATTATAGACCATTGTAATGTAACCGACATGAAATCGTATAACAATGAGTTTAAATAAATAAATTCATTAAGTTTAATAGAATGAAAAATATAATCATATAGTTTTTTTTTTGAGGAAATAACATCTATTATTTATTTGTTTTAATCATTAATCATGGGAGTATTCAGAGACTAAGTTTTAGTAATATGTATTTTTTTTTATTTCCACGTTTGTAGTAAACCTAAGTTACTGCTGGGAAAAAATATTGTGAAAAGATAAACAAAAAGGCGAAAAGTATTCACAAAACATTATTGAGACTGTTGAAAGAATCATTTCATAATAAGCCGTAAATGATTTGGGGAATAAAACTCGATATCGATTCCCTGTCTCGTCATAATATTGCCAGTATATCCTATTACTAAAGTACTCGATGTACCTACTAAAACACATAACGCATATAAATAAAGGTGTGACGCTGTTAAATAGGCTCGGGTCACGATATCCGACATATTGGGAGCCTTGTACGTTAAAGATTAGTATATACGGTTATCATTTATTAGTTATGATGGAAATATTCTTGCCACGTGACAAATATAATATATAATAGACACCTCACATATATAATAATAGTTTATGAAAACAAACCGTCATGTCTGTGAACAGATTTCTCGCATAAGTAATAATCAATAAAACGTAGTCATCAAAATAAAATTGATACTAAAAATATGTCATAAGAAAGGAGGTACGACGAACTTTTTTTATAAATTATTGCATTTTCCATCTTTATTATTGCATTTTTTCTTTAGATCCCCGAATTTGTAATTGAAGTACGAAAATAATTTTTATTATGATTTTGTACAATTTAGTTAAAAGTAGAGTTCTATTATATTTTTAGCAAACATAATACAACATTCACAAAACGATTATGAAAATTCTATACTTGAGAAATATTGTTACAATACACTGTTACAAACTACCCATTTGTGCAAATAAAACTGAAAGATGGTAAACATTTTAAGGTTCAAACAAACATATGATCGGTGTGAATCGTTTAATAATTAAGCCACTATCGTGTATTATTATTGTTGCTGTTAGCATTGCTATCATAGCGTGTAACCTCAAATGCGATTAATTGGCGTGAATAGCAGAACCAGTCGTCATGTGTCTATTGAACTAAGCGACTATTAGCCAGAGCAAAGTTCACAGTATACACGAACAATACTGTATGTATTATTCGATCGGACTAAGCGATGCCATGAAAATTCCGATGATATGACGGCAGTTTCTGAAAGCTGTGTATATAATTAATGAATAGGACTTAAGGTCACTTTAACTCACAAGCCGGTAGATGTGTAATGTCTGACAAGTCAATTTCCGTCTTGTCCCTGAGGCCATGTTTCTTTTCACGCTGGTGGTGCGGCTGTGGCAATGGGTGTGGGTGGGATCGTGGATGAGGTGCGGCCGGTCGTCTAGCTGGCGGTGAACCCAACTCTGGAGGAGGAGGCAGCTCACTGTCACCAGCACAAGAATCTTCATCTGAACTCGACGCTGTACAAAATATAAGCTTATTACGAGATGCAATTATGATAAAGATGATTTCTTAGCCGTCTGCTCTTAAGATTGCAACAAATGATACAAATATTCACTTGAATTAATATAAAATTTCGTTGCATAGTTTTATTTTATACTAACAAAGATCATGTCTTTCTCTATCAGGACTTTTGGCCATCATAGAGGTTCTCTTCGATGGCATCGGGAGTGAAGGTTTAGGTCTGTTCTGCATTTCAGCAAGCGCCTGCTGCACTGCCTCCTGCCTCACTTCTGTAAATTATTATTTGTTATAATAAAGAAGTTAAGAAAATGTTTCCCAATTTCTTACTTCTTAAGCTCCTAAGCCAATATAACTTAATTAGTCATGGAAGCATATAATATACAAACAAACAAAAGAAAAAAATTGCTACTTGAGTAGGTACAGAATAATAACGAACAATCTTTTAAATTGCAATTGTAATCATGCATATTGCAGTTATTAAAAAAAGAGATACTAATTCCCTTCTAAGAAAAATAATCGTCTGATTCACAGAATGGTTCCTTCTTAAATTAAAATTTTCTCAATATGTTCTTACCCTTTTTGTTGCCATTTTTGTCATTTAAATTATAATTAATTTTCATTAACATCTCAATAAAAATGTAATTAGTCATAATATATAGATGGAATTAGTTTCTAAAGTAAATAATTCAAAATTACTAATAAATTTAACTAATTATTATTGGTTAATTAGAAAGTACCTAATGATAAATAATTGTAACGAAAAAAATAATAAAGCAAGGAAAATAAAAATTAACAAAGCTTTAAAACAAAATAGTACTTTACAAAACTATGAGACTACATTCAGAGTCCTTTATGTAGCATAAATTGACAGGGTAAGACGATGGAGCCCTCTTAAGAAAAAGTTTTATGTTTGCGTTTTGGGCTTAATAGTAATCAATTCAGCTAGCTTTGAACAAGTTTTATTTATAGTAAAAAAAAAATTGCTAATATTTTTATCAATAAAAAGGCCGTAAAACGTGAACGAAATGATTAAGAAAAGTAAAAGATGTTCGCGTGTTTTCTATTTATAATGCAATTAAAACTAAACACTGGCTAGTGTAGCAGCAGCAAAATAACATCTATTGAAGAAAAAAGATAATATAGACGATATAATGAAGCGTATCAGTGTTAAAAACATGCATAATATTGTACGTAACAGCGGGCGTGTACAAAGAAATAATGTCAAATTAATAATAATAATAGTCGTCCGTCATGCAAAACTCACGTGTTAACATACGTACCATGTTCAAGTCAAAAGCGGCATACATAGTTATGTTCTGTTAATTATTGATTTAAATCACATAAATAAATGGATAACATGGGTTATAAAACTGCTAAAAGTTGCTAGTTATGACTTGTGAGATATTTTGTAATATGTTAAGAAGTTTAATATAAATATTTTAATATTCAATTGAAGGATAACATTTAAAAATTAAGTTATTTAAGAAACTAAGTTTTATGGATACCACATGTTTTTTTTATTATTTTATTGCTACATATTCCCGACGATTCGAATAACACTTTATAGGAATCATGATCGGGGCACACGAGATCAATGTGGCTGTCCGTTAGTCTCGTTATTTGTCACCTACCGCCAAGGATTTCTTAATTTTTTATTGTACTGATCTGGATGCACACAGAACTCTCTATGTTTTGATGGATGGATTGGTCACGGACGTAGGATATTATATTTTTGATCAAGAGATCCCAGTTGTTGGAAAATTGTCAGACACCATTCCTTTTGCACTTAGAGCCTTTTAATTTCAGTAACTTCGCAGAATATCCTCGGTATGTACTTGTCTTTACAAGTGAGGTTTTGTGTTTTGTTAAATAGCGTTTAGTGACCTGGTCTGCTTTTGGTGCGTATACACAATGTTGAAACTTAGACACACTCCTCTTGTTAATATTCAAGATATGTTCTTTAACCCCCGTACCAATGCTCCCCTTTGTTTTTCCGATGTAGGAAAAGCCACAATGACAATGAATTTTGTAGACATCTGCTTGTCGTAAACGTACTTCTGGTTATATAGCTAGTTGGCGGTCAACTGCAGGTTTGCAGGATTGCAATTCTTTGTCTCGAGTATACTTCTGATTCTGATAGTATTCTTCTGATACTGAACATCTGGAGCTGTGGCACGTAAAACTTGCAATCTCCACCAACAACCTAGTCATGCCTAGCAAGCTACTACACGCAATTCAATATACACCAGAACCTCATTTGTGAAGACAAGTACATACGGAGATTAATCCACCAGGCTATTGAAATTATAAGAAATCCTAATTTCAATATAGAAGATGGCTCGCAATTTTCCAACAACTGGAATCTGCTCATCAAAAATATAAATTCCCACGCCCGTGATCACGCCACAAGAACTCAAAACACGGTTTGTGCATTTCGCCTGCATCCAGAGCAGTAACCATAGAAATTAAAGATATCCTTGGTAGGTGAAAAGTAACGAGACTGACAGATACTATCATCTCATCTACCCGTGTTTACGATTGCTAAAAATAATCGAAACGTCAAGAAAATATAAAAATAAAATAATAAAAGAACGCGTAGCATCCGAACAATTTTGTTTCATCTAAATATGTACACTATGTGAATTAAGTTTTTCATCTACACATTTTATTTCCTATTTAAAAATAAACAATTGCTTATAGCTTGGAGAGCAAAATATTACGTGGATCGCAAGGTCATAACCACGCAAACGTTTTTACTGAATGCACATCCTCATCATTGTTTAATGTAAACACACACAACGTTGTAGGTTACTGTTGAAACATATTATTATTTGTTATTTGTATATAAATTCTTAGTTGTTGATAACAAATAACAAATCATAAGAGATATTACAAAGCAATTCTTATAATACATAGTAAAGGCCCCTGCCCCTACTTTATCAATATTCATAAATAAAGGTAACTATTATTTGAGTTCTTATGATATATAATTGCTTTCTTTACATTTATATTGATTTGCCAAAATAATTATCAAATTATTGCCCTATATTAACCTAGAAGTAATCTACTAAACCCATTTAAAAACCAATGTTTCTTTGATAATATTGATTAACAAAAACTATAAATATAAAAAATTACTTCAGGTTGGCATATTCAGATTGCAAACATTTAACATATTAGAAAGAAAAGCGTTTTAGTAATGTAATAATTATTTAAATGTTTACATATTTTCATTTTGTCGTCCACCTCAAAAAATAATAAAAAGGTACAATATTTCAACAGCTTCGGGAAGCCGAACCAGTTTCCATTTATGAGACCGCAGTTGCTGGGAAATAATACTGAAAAAATCAGAACGCTTCTAGCAATTTCTTCAATTTGTTGAATATTTTTCTGAAGCTGTAGTTGATAAAATAAAAGTTTGTGTTACAACAACATTAACAACATTAAACGTTAAAAAGAATTTAATGAATTGAATGAAATAGTATATTATATACGATGTTTTCAATGGCATCGCTCGCGTGTACAAACGGTTGAATTTCTCTTGCATGCACGACATGTGTACAACATTTGTTGCATAAAGTAATTACTTACGTCTACATCGCACTAACCATCGATTTTAATATGAATTCCAAACTAATCTATTGTTTTAATATGTATCTATATTTAATTATATATTTCTCTTTCGACGTTTCATAGTTTAGAGAAAACATTTAGATGTATGATTTGTAGTACATAACTACACACCAAGTTGAAGATTTTTAAAGGAGCAACGGTATTTTAAATAAAAAAAGAATTAAATAGGAAACTTAATAGAAAAAAATGCATTGAAAACTATTCAGGTTAAAGAATCGAGTAAAAATAACGAACTATTTTGATGACGTTATTGGGACATGGTTGTATTTTTATGATGCTGATCGTAACTAGTGCAATTAAAATAGCTTTATATGCAATCTCCCACGGAGCTTGAGGTTAAAAGCTAAATCCGTGCAATATTCAACACAACAACGGCTGACTCGGCTTAATATCGGGATATTAGTGTATTAGACTGAATATTCCCCACAATTCTTCATCTAGGTACATACACAATTAAATCATTCCATTTTTACTCAAATTGTCGTACTCTTATCGATTCTATCTTGAAAATACATCACACAAACATATTAACGTATAAACGGGTTTGTTTAAATAATATTTAACATAAAATGAATGAATATCCTTTGGCATGTTCATAGTATCATTCGTGCTGCCGGCTCTTTAACACTTATATCACGTACGGACGTTCATAGATAGATCGTACTAACTACAATCACAGCCACTTGTATCAATTTATTGCTTAAGAAAGTATGTCAGTCGTAAGGCGTATACGGGACGTTGTTCTGTCTTGTCTTCCGACTTGCATTGTGGAACGTTCGATGCCACTGTATCAACGATATATGTATAATAATTTACGATTTTTAAGAGTTCCTCTAATGTAAAACAATAGGTGGCTTATCGGAATCTGAAGTGGAATGTACACAGCGTGGAGATTCTTAGAAGTTTATATAAAAGAGAGAATCGCCTCCTGTTTGGCGTATACTATTGGAGCTGAATTTTTGAGACTCGGAAAAACTTGTGTTGACACGTTTGGTCTACAACTATCAGCTTTGGAGGAAAAAAACAGATATCAAACTGTTATTGGTACGAGACACAATTAAACCCAGTTTAACTATTAACTCATAATAACATAAATTGATTTAAAGAAAAAGGCAATACAATCTGAAGTAACACGAGAGAACTGAATTATGTAATTCTCAAAACTGCAAGCAACATGACGTATTACATTTTGAACATTGATAAGAATTGACTCATCGGTGGTAAGAATAAACCAAAGAAACCTACTAAACTTCTTACTAAAAAGTATGAAAATATAACTAATTGCAAATATATCAAATATCGTGAGATTTGATATAACCGTAAGGAAATATTTAAACCAGATAAGGATAAAAACGTTTGAGATTTCATAATAAAACTTGAGTAGTCTCGTGTCGCATGAAATGTATACAAATTAATATTATTATCGTTGTTATTTATATGGATGCTTAATTAGGTTTCGGTTTTGACTCACCGTATTGGGGTCGAAACTCGTAACATGCCGACTCGAGAACTGGCTTTCCAGTTCCACGCACTACCACCGACACCGATCATGTATTTACATGCCACCAACGCTCTTGCCAATTGATTTAATACCTTGCCGCATTTATATTAAGATGCATTTTAACGGCGAAGAGATACATTTTAATAGAGTCTATTGAATAATCAGGATATAAGTTGATCCTGGACCTATAAGTAATGCCAGGTTTACATAATAAATTTAGACTGCAAGTTTATAATCTAGACGGACTAGGAATTATTGCGCTGTTATTTAGGTAAAGTTACTATTGATTATTATCTGTACACCTGAATGCACTGCTTTACAATTTATTTACCAAACGTTTACCAAACTGGTGATGATGACCTTCAAGAAAATCAAGTTATTGATTTTTCTACAAAATAAATACCTTTAACAAAGTGATATCTAATCAAATTGAAAAAGTTTTGTAACAGACAAGAAATTATTTGTTATTTCAGTTAAATGTATTTCAGATAAGTTATTCCAATCAATGTCCCATAAGAAGTAAAGAGACCCAACATAGCTCAATATAAAAGGAATGACATCACACACGCATCACCACTAATTCTACAGACAGCGATAGGTTCTTTATAATGTCATGACTCACCCGAGTGGTAGCGACTCTCGTTCCGCGTGAGTCGCCTGTTGGTCCTTCCAGGCGGCGAGCGGAGAGCGGCTGCCGATCTCACTGCGACGCGATAAAGAACCACACGTACACGTGACCACACATACACAAGTATGCGAACGCAACAAAAGAGGAAACCAATATCAAATTCGAAATCCAGCTTGCATTGATACCGCGATAGTTAATACAAAATCAAAACAATACATATATACTTTTAACAATAATTACTGTAATTTGTCCATTAAGAAATTTCAATATTGGATTCCAAATTAGTAACAAGTTTAATCACCATATTTATTTAAACTTCTATTTATTAATTCAAAATGTTTATGTTTATAAACAATACTGAATGAAAGTACGCTTTAATGGTATTTAAACTTATTGATACGCATTCCACCACGACCCTAAATTAAGTAAAAAGATGATTTTCACTCCCTCTTCAATGTATTTTTAAGATTATAAAAACAATTTAAACACGCAACCACAATTTATCGTTATTAATTTTTTAAATTAAATATATTATTCCTTCCTCAAATACAAGATAACAAAATTTTTATTAATTTTATTAAACTCATCGGACCTTCTTTCTTTTTAACCTACATGAACATAAACAATTTTGACAGGAAAAAAAAATCACTGACTTTTTTTTCCTCGGCTGTCATCTTATACGTTTAACGGATTCGGCATTTATTTAAAACTATACACAATATGAGTTCTTACGTTATAAAAACTGATATAGAAATAGATGTACTTAGATTAGATTCGGACATCATCGATGAACATTTGCGCTCCTCAACAGCCGTGTTACAAGACATTTTGAATAACGATAATAACCAATGTTTCGACAATGATTTAGCACATACGTGCAGACAATGCGGGAAATTATATAAGACTGCAAATTCACTTAATATGCACTGCCTGCTCAAACACCCTGGGAACGACCTAGAGGTGACATGCGTCGATTGCAATAAGAAATACCCGTCTCTGATGAGCCTACAAAAACATATCCGATACATGCACCGTTACAAGAACCGATGCAAGGCCTGCTACAGAACATTCGAAACGGCAAAACAATTGTCTGATCACGCGGAATGTTGCAGCAAGAGCGAAACACCGTGTAGGGAATGCGGGAAGATATTCGATTCGCAGATAGCACTGCGAAATCACAACAAATATAAACATCCGAGGAGCACGAATAATTTGTGTGAACTATGTAGACGCACGTTCACTAGCAGTCGCAGTTTATCAAATCACATGGCATCTATACACAGTCCAAACGCAACCTGCTGCGAAAGATGCCACCGATACTTTAACTCCATACCAGCGCTCCAGAGCCACATGCTGAAGAAGCACTCCACGGAGGGGCTCATGTGTAATCTTTGTTGTAAAATTTTTCGCTCTAATTATAGTTTATATCGTCATTTGCGTAAAATTCACTCTACAGATAAAAATAAATGTCACTGCAACAAATGTAATGTAAAAAACTCTGTCGAAAATGGACATGTATTATCGACGTTTTCTAGCGATCAGTTAGAAACGAGCTCAGATTGACCGTTGTCTATTAAATTTAATACAATAAATATGTATGGATAAACGTTAAGTCATTTTATTTTTACACATATATGTAGTCAATACATAAATTAAATATTACTTATATGAACAGCAGACACTAATAGAAAAAAACGAAATATGAGTCAACAGCATCACAAGTTAAATTGATATTGTCATCTCAAGAATTATTTCTTACAGTATTACAAAGACGGCAAAGTGATAATTTGTCTTCATCGAGAACATTTATAATAAATTAAAAAGAAAAATATTTCATAAACCATTGTGTTCATTTAATTTTGTATGTTCTAATTACACGTTAAAAAACACTCACAATGAGTGGCTCTATCATTACGATAATAAAAAAGTTGAATAATCATAAGACGGAATAGCAAAGAACGCACTATAAAAACTTCTAAAGAATTCATGAAATCGAGGGTATGAAATTGTAATATCGTACATTTATAATGAACATTTTGAAAATTATTTACAAAAACCTGAACGAAATCATAGTTAGAGTACTTTATATTATGAATTCTTGATATTAGAGTACTTGATATTATGTATTTCGATAAATATAAACGAGCCAGGCAGTATTAAAATGCTGTTGAACAGCCAACGGAATGATAAAAACTCGACATTAAAAGTTAAAACGCAGGCAGAGACTAGGGTAAGTTTACCTGCGGGCGGATGAGCGTTATCGCATTACACAGGGTATCACCCGACCCTATAAAAAGATAGTTGACGATGATTAAAAAAAAACACGAATACATTACTACTAGAGAACTAATATACAAATCATAAGTATATTTCGAGATCGATAGAATTTACTATGAAATGCCAGTTAGTGTTTTCCAACTTAGCTAGAACAAAGTAAACCTAATTAATACTAACCCGTCTCTAACACAAGCCCGCTCTAGACTTATTTGACAAGTGTTGTTTGCAGTTCAATGTTCAAGGAAATACATAGTATGAACTTCCGTAAATAAGGATATTGGAGCTGTTTATATTATATGTATTAATTTCATACTAGGTTAATTGGATAACAGAAACTAAAACCATATAAACATAGAAATGAATTTTTCTAACATTATATTTACCATAATCATATTGTTGATCTCATTTGTTAAATCTTTTCAAAAAATTTAAAAGAATATCAACAACCCTGGCTGTATAACATACATAAATAAATAACAAAAGAATAGAAATAATAAATATGTACCTCAAATTGATGTAATAGAAATTATATTTTAATATTAACACATGGTGATTGAGTAACTATAACTATTACCATAAATATTTCCAATAAGTTTTGGTTTTGGACAATTTATGTATTAATACATAATTTTTTTCAGCTTGATATAAAATATTTCTTTAGTGTAATTTTAGTTTACTTGGAATTTTTAGGTTGTGTTAATATCAATCGAATATCCTAAAATAAGTTAGTTTATGATACTAGCTTAATAGCTATTAAATATTCTAAATTTTATTGGACAAAACTATTTGAATAGATTAAATGAATAATTCAGTTTATATAAATTCAACAAATGTGATAGGTAAAGGAACGAGCAGTCGTTGACTTTGGGTCTAACTTCGTCTGTCTTGAAGAGACGTTGACTAAATTAAATGTAATTTTCGTTCCAATCCAATGTTATCTTTTAGAATCTAGACTTTAGATGATATTTTTATGTATGGTAGTAATATTCATAACACATTTTATGACGCACAATCATAAAGATCTGGAAATAAATCATAACAAAACTGATATTTAACATAGATATTATATATGATATTCTATTATCTAAGCCTGCTATAAATCTATACCATCATTTATTGCAACAAAAAATAACTTTTGACTTGAGATAAGATTAATTAATGCGAAAAATTCAAATGTTATTAAAAACGGATTAAATATATGTAATGTTGTATCTATTTTTGTTTGTCGTGATAATGATCTATTTATTGAAAAGTATCAGAAATAGAACGGAAATCAACATCCGTGATAAAAGCCAGACAAAAAGCACCTTTGTAATTAATGTATCCAATGTAATCAACGAGTTTATTCAGTTAAAACGGGTGGCTATTCAAAGATTCTGTGCAATTTATGAATAATAATATCAGTCGTCTGTATTGTAGTGCGTACGTGCAAGTTGTACATGAATTTGATAAAATGACTAGTCTTTGTTATGGTAGTACATTTAAACTGTGTTCCGCAGTAATCTCTGAACTAAAATATCTATATATTTTATATCTATTTAATTTTCTATATGACACTATTTAATTTTCGTATAAAAAAACCTTCCAATAAAATTAAAAACGTTTCCTATTATGCTACGGACGTAAAATTTTACATATTCATTCGGTACCGATGGCTATGCAAATTTTATGGTAAGCATGACCTGATTTAACACTCAGCATTGGCTGCAGAAAAGGGATATTGTTTTCGACAGTCTTAGACAATGATTTAAAATCATACTACCGATCTCATGGAATCAATAATAATAAATTAATTTACAATATGCATTCTATTATGTGCCTATAAATAAGCCCTGTTCCTTAGTTTACCTCGTTCTGTTTTTTGCAGTTATGATCGGATCCATAAAGTTTTTTTTAAATATTCATTGATACATACAGACATAAATGTTATTCCTTTGTTATTGATATCAGATGAGGAATACAAGTCTTAAGTCTTGAATTGCATTAAATAAGATTCTGAAATACTCGGATTTAAAATGCAATAAATGTATCTAATAAATTACTACAATCCCATGACATTATTGTCGTTTGTTAAATAACCATGCTGATAAAGATGTCGTCTACATTACATTTAACTTAAGTATGATCTATATTATGCGTTCCGTTTGACGTTCGAAGTCCATTATGAGAGTATATCGCAGTCTTCGCCTTGCTTGGTCGCTAGATGTCGCTACTAATGGTCGGTAACTGATTACCGACCAACCTTCCTGTCACTTCCAGTGCGGATCGTAATCTAGTATTTAAATACAAGCCACAAATTTCTTCACTGTTAAAAGTCATAACAATTATTGCTATTTTTTAAATATATTTAAATACCCTTCGAAATAAAAGTGACTATAAATGAGTGATTGCTAGTCTGCAGGATTTGGAGGACAGGTTTGACAAATTGTCACAGCAGTTGGTGCGTCAGTTAAATAATGTTTTAACGGCTAGGTTCTCTCAACCTTCGAATAATGTATCGACATACATGCAAGTACATACCCTTATTTAATAACTCAAATAATTCGGTATTATCCGCCAATGAGCAATTTTTATGTCCGCCGAAATTAAATGTGGGTAGTATTGTTAATTGAAAGTAGCCGTCAAAGAACCTACTTTACCAAAAGCAAAGCCGGCCCGTGTCGACAGAATAAGAGTTATGTAGAGATTTGATTCACCCGAATGGAATGCGTTTCAATATACAGACGTTCAGAAAAAATATCTGGCCTTCCCGGCATTTACGGAACTAAAAGTAAATGAGAAGCTGCGACGTTTAGAGGATCCTTTTACTCCTTTACGTTCGTTTCAAATAGAACGTGGTTTTGCCGCGTTATCCAATGCATTTTTAGCACAAAACGAAGCGATAAATTCTGCTTTACAAATTCTTATTGATTGGTGTGCTCTGCCGACCTACAAGGTAACGCGACCGTCATTTATGAAAAATTAAATCAATTATTTGAAAACGATTCCGATTACAAAACGGTTTCTCACGACATACTACAAGTGATTTGCGGCAAACGAGCTGAACGTTTAGAGATGCGTAGGCGGGATTTAGTTAAAAAATTAAAAGATACATTTACAAAAGAAGACCTTAATAAAATGCCTCCTCCTTGTGAGTACATTTTTGAGCCTAGCCAGCTATCACTGTATTTACAAAAAATTGGCAGGGTAGATAAATTACCAAAACAAACTTCATCATCTAACCGTTCTCGTTCGAAATCGCCCGAGCCTTCTACTTCATCCAATATCCAGTCGCTTCGAGATGGAAAACGTAACAATTTTAAAGTCAAGCAGGATGAAGCCAAGGATCGTATCGGAGTTCATCTGAAAAACTCCTCAACTGCAAAAAAGGAGGGTTGAAATTTAAAGCAGAAGCAGAGGTATAAAAATAAATGACTCAAAGATTTTTTTCGGAAGTTGTCTACAAAATTTTATAAAAATTTGGCTTCACTTCAAAGCACCCAAATCAATATGCAAAATAATTACTGGTCTCAAAATACCATTCAACTAGCCACCGCCTCTAGTTTTCCCAAATTTGGACGTTTTAATGAAGCTTCAAACTCCGACTCCAAATTTGATGTCGACTGAAATCCAAAGTTTAATTCGGTTGAAGGTTTTGGAGCCAGCACTTTTACACCTTCCTTCATTTCGTAGTAAACTGTTGTTCTGTAGACTTGTGAGACTCGAACGCCTACTTTCACGACGCTTTCAGCAAATCCTGCCATTACAGATTTGCATGGGTGTTCCCGCTACCCAGCTTAATACCCAAGGCCTTGGATCATCTAAATCAGGGTAGTTCATCCTAATAGCTCCCAAGTGGAAGAAGTGCTTTTGGAGGCCAGATGTGAAGAATCGTCCTCATAGGGCATCCTATGAAACTCAGAAATCTGAACAAAACTTTTTCGACACATCGACTATGAATGATTATTAGCAACCACGAGCGAAAGTCGGAAAGTTACATCTGGAGGCCTGGCTGATTTTGGGTTTGACGATTTTACAGAGACATGGACACCACAAGAGAAATAGTTATTGATATCTTGCTGGAGGCAGTCTACCATAAAGACTTATGTCCCAATTTGGATTAAATGGGTAAGATTTTGTTAAGGAAATAGCATTAATTTTCGTTTTCCAAAACCAGCAAATGTAGCAAGGTATTTAGCTAATCTATTTTTAACCCATGGTCTTTCCTACCGAACCATTCTTGTGCAAAAATCGTCATTGCATCTGTTTGTGAAACGATATCCGATATAAGGTTTCTACAAATCCAA